TATATTTTAAAAATTTAAACTTTTTTTTCTTAATTTTTTTGGATTTTTTATGAATAATAAAATAAAATAACATTCGAGAAAATCTTAGTGAATCCAAAATTGGGTTACAACAATGATGATTATATACAGTTATAAAGAACTGAAATGGTTTGGATAGAAAACTTAAGTCAGTTAAAAAATTATTATATTGTTTGTTTTGGGATACAAAATTCATTGTATAATTATTTCCTTTAAGGCATTATTTATGTTAGGAATCAGCTTTTTTTAGCATATTTTTTAGTATGATTTATTTTATTGATTATGTAACTATTTTATATGCTTTTTTAATGTTTATTTCCCTTAGGTTTTAACAGCCAAAAACTTCACTTTTTTTTTTATAGATAGTAAGATTATTTATGCAGCATGTATGAGAGCAGCTGTAGCTATGATAATTATAGGGGTAGTTATTATTGAACAAGAAAGAAATAGAAATTATATACCAAGAGAACCACGTATAAATGCAATTGCGCAACGATAATTCTATATGGATAGTATTTTGCATTGAGGTGATAGATATTGCGTTGAACAAATCCTTATGAAACCAGTTGTCTTAGATAAATTGTGTGATATTCTCACAATTCATGACCTATTACGATCAACTCAAAATGTGTTCATTAGGAAGCAAATAATTGTGTTCTTAAAAATTATAGGCCAAAACCAAAGATTTTGTTTTATTAGTGGTATATAATTATTTTAGATTCTTTTTTTTTTGTACTCGAAAAGTATATATTTACAATATTTGTACCACTCTGATTCTAAAAATATTCTAAAAATAATGGGACACTTAATTGTTTCTATTGATTTTGGGTGTAATTTGAGATCCCACTTAAAAAAGAAATAATAAAAAAAAGGCACCTCCATTGTTGGGTTGAACCATATGTTTTCCACTCTTATGGAAATAGTTAGGTGACTTGGTTTATATTTTTCTTAAGGCTACGTAGTCACGGGAGGCCCAAGGGCTGAAACACTAACAAAAACTAGCTATCCCGGGATTGAAAAACAAGAAATCCCTTCTCACGTCTCTAATCTTTATTTTTTTTATTATCAAAACCCTCTAAAATATATGTTATATCTTGTATTTTAAATCATTATTAACACTACTAGAAAATTGGTAAATATTTAAGTTATAACTTAATATATATCTAGTTTTTTTTGTTAGTGTTTATTGATGGATACATGAATGAAAAATAATATTGTTAAAGTGTTGGTATTTTTGTTTATATTTATTAATTTTCTTATAATATTGAATGGGCAGGAAAATCAGTGGTTTATGCACTATAATGAGCAGCCATGGCACTGTGTAATCTTCATTGGTGGTACTTGCAGATCCAATGCATTCTCAAAGATAATAATAGCTTCTTAGGTGTTGAAACTTGTTGTGGATAATAAAATCGTTCTTAGGTGTTGAAACTTGTTATGGATAATAAAATCGGTTATCTGCTAGCTGAAGGGTCTAGGTTGGTTTTGTTGCTTGGTACTGTTTTTGAAATTAATATTTTTTTATATATTTTAAAGTTATTTTAATGTGTTGATGTTAAAGATAATTTTTTTTAAAAAAAAAATTATATATTTCTAAATAAAAAAATATTTTTAGAAAAATCAATACCATAATCATATTATATACTTGGTATTAGAATTATAATGTTGTCTCGAGTAAACAACAACGAATAATCCTCACAAAGGATAGGATATGGTAATACAATAATGGATGTTGCTCGCAAACTAGGGCTTGGCCTAGTGGTGGAAAGGGCTTGTCTTCTTCCACTGCACCTGGGTTCAAGCCCTAGCGTGCACGCCTGTCACCCCCACGGTGCCTTACATGCCTACTGGGTTTGCAGGATATTCAGTGGGCCGTGGGGATTAGTTGTGGTGCGCGCAAGCTAGGCCGGATACCCCACGTAAATAAAAAAAATAATAATGGATGTTGCTCTCTCTCTCTCTTTTCAATGTTTAAAAGAACACCGAATTGCAACAGTGATTAAAATTTAGGGGCATAAAAAATGTTTATGTAATATTTTCTTAAACTCTTGTGGGTTTTTATTAAATCATTAAAAATATTTTGACAAAAAATGGCCTGAAATTCATTTTTTTATCTCGGTCAATATGGTTGGACCCATATTGACTCGGTGGACTTGGTTTTGATTGAAAATAATAGTTTTGACCTGAAATGATCTGAAACTCATTTTTTATCCCGGTCAACATGGTGGGACCCATATTAACCTAGTGGACTTGGTTTTGATGGAATGATTTTTGGTTTTGATCTGAAATGGCCCGAAACTCATTTTTTATCCTGGTCAACATGGTTTGACTCATATTGACTCGTAGAATCGGTTTGTATGGAAAAATGCGGTTGACCCGAGAAAAATATATTTTAAAATTTTAAACTTTTTTTTCTTAATTGTTTTGGACTTGTTGAGATTCAAGGAAAGTTTCGAGGTCAAAAAGAAGAAACAATACAAAATGTTTTAGCAGCTATAACTTTTGATTAGAAGTTTATATATGTTTTAGCTGGCTAGGAATGAAATGCACATGATTCACAGGTTTTAAGTGATGCATTATCAAGATCTAGTGATCTAAAAATTCTAGAAGGTATATAATAAAGTATTTATTATATGCAATAAACATATAAAATGTTTAATTAGCTAAAGATAGTAATAGGGTTTTTTTTTTTCTTAATTGTTTTGGATTTTTTATGAATAATAAAATAAAATAACATTCGAGAAAATCTTAGTGAATCCAAAATTGGGTTACAACAATGATGATTATATACAGTTATAAAGAACTGAAATGGTTTGGGTAGAAAACTTGAGTAAGTTAAAAAATTATTGTATTATTTGTTTTGGGATACAAAATTCATTCATAATCACATAATGGGAGTTGATCCTTATGACTTTTTTATGGAAGAAATATGTTCGGAAAGTGAACCAATTACACGAACAATCAACTTAAGTCAATGGGAGGAAAAGGAAGAGAATAGGGAGTGGATAACAGAAAGAGATATGATTGCATCAAATATATGGAATGATTATAACACTCAAAGAAACTAGTAATTGAGTGTTAATTATATCTGTTTATATTATCTTTGTTATGTATTTGGAGTAGATGTTGACTTTATTATAAGTTCTTATGTATTTTATGTATTCTCTTTTAAATATTAATTGTAGTTTTTATATGAAATTTATTAAATCTAAATATTATATGATTTAATTTTGTATAAATTTGTAATTTCTTTTTTTATAGAAATGAGTTCCATACAGAATGAAAAATGTAAGGGCAAGCACTTCACATGGTCTAAGCCCATATCTCATATGTTACTTGAGATATTAGTTAAGGAGGCACTTAAAGGAAGCAAACCTTCTTCAACCTTTAAAGCAGAATCTTTTATTAAGGTGGCTACAGAAATCAATCAAAAGTTCAACATGCAATGCGAGCCTAAGCATGTGGACAATCATCTCAAAACTGTGAAAAAAGAATAGGAAATAATAACCAAACTTAAAAATAAAAGTGGTTTTGACTAGGATGATTGTTTAAAAATAATTACAGTTTTGAAAGATGTATATGATGAAAAAGTAAATGTATGATAAATATTATACTCTTTTTAATTTTTATATTTACTTTTGTTTCTAAAATGTTATACAATGAACTAAAAAATTGCATATTCTAAACTTTATGAGCAAGCACATCCCAATCGTGACAAGTATCTCAACAAAAAACTTGATATGTACGAGGCAATGATAATTATTGTTGGAAAAGACATGGCAACCATAAATTATACCAAATCATATGTTAATGTCAACTTGGAAGAAAACACTGAAGAGCAATCAATTTCAATTGAAAATGAAGGGGAATATGAAGAAACTTCTAAAGAAAAAGAGATATCTTCCTCTAGTACACAAAAGAGGCAACATAGAAAGAG